GGAAAGAAGTCCTAGAGAATAACATGGAGGTGTTGAACTCACAAAAGTGGAAGTTAATGAGTAGAAGTGTTTACCTGTTTTAAAAAAAAAAACCCATGGAATAGGTGGCAATGATAATGTTTTTTCATCAGTGAGAGAGCCAAAATGGAGCAAAATTGATATGCTGATTGTTGAATGCTATCATAGAATAATTGAGTTGGGAGGGGCCTATAAGGCCCCTGCTCAGTGGAGGAATCCAAGGAGATCGCTGCTTCTCAGATTTGCAGATTTGATAATCCAATCCCCTGCTCAGTGCAGGGATCCATCTTCATTGAATCAGTTAGGACATACATAATCTAATCTGTACTCTCCTGGGATCTTGACCACCAATTTTATTCTGTGTTAATGTCTATGGCACATTAATTAGTGGTTGCTTTTTGTACAGTGGGGTCTCTACTTAAGAACGGCCCTACTTAAGAACAATCCAATTTAAGAACAGCTCCATTTGCTAAATTTTGTTTCTACTTGAGAACAGAAATCCAATATAAGAACACTGAAAAAAAACCTTTCCTGCTCTTTTTTTAACCTTAGGTCATCTTAGGTTAAAAAAAAAAATTCTCCCCCTAATGGTAGAGTACGTATTAACCAGCTTTGCATTAGTTCCTATGGGAACTAATGCTTCAATGTATGAACGCACCTCTACATAACAAAAAAACAGTCAGAACGGATTAATTGGTTTTCAGTCCATTCCTATGGGAAATTTTGCTTCAACTTAAGAACGTTTCAACTTAAGAACACAATTCCAAAATGGATTAAGTTCTTAAGTAGAGGTTCCACTGTATCTCATTTTGCAATGCAGCAAACCCAATTCTTTCATAAGGACATCAGCGTAACTTAGTTCCCCAAATAGTCAGTTTGGGCGGCATAATGGTGGTATGATAAACAACAGCACATAAACATTGGGCAGCATCTGAGTGCAGTGGAATTCATATGGCAAACAGGGACAGAAATGGGTCAGGTCCGTACCAGCATTCAGTTAAAAATTGCCCTTTTTCTGATGAGAGCAAAAAGGAGGGAAGAGTGATCCATCCATAAGACCTAATATTAGCTTAGTTTTAATTAGAGGGTTTGCGTATTTGTGTTTTTTGAGTACAGTTCACTGAATTCACCACAAAGGTACACACCTCTTGTTTTAATATTCACGGCTCAAATTTGTTGTTTTTTTACTGCAGAACGTAACTGTATAAAATAGGGGACAGGAGAGAGAATTGCACCCTGTTAGGGCAATAAGTGGTAGTCTTTGTGTCTAAAAATAAGTGTTATGTGAGGCTTATGCTTACATACAGTCTAAAGTGCAATTCAATCTCTGAATCTTTGGGGATAATTAGTTTTTCTGTTCCTATTATTCTTTCTGTGGCATCCAGTTACTTTTGGCTTAGGAGGAAATCTATAACAGTGCCCTTAAACTGAGTGATTTAAGTAGTAAGTCTGGGAGCAAATTCTATAGAGCAATGCATGTTTAGGAATTAGTGGTATCAGATGGGGACTTGATTGGTACTTAATTTATATTGGCATTCTGGAGAACTGACAGCAACTGGCACCAAAGCAAATCCTGCAGGGTTCCTTTCTAGCTTCTGTTAGAGTTATTTCTGAAACATATCAGAGCAGTAGAAATTTTTGAAGATTGTAGATTAAGGAAACATTTCTCTCTTCCTTGACTCTGTGTTTTATATATATTTGTGCACTTGGTGAGGACACGGGAGAAATCTTTCTCTGCTGCTGCCAAACTCTGGAACTCCCTTCCTCAGGAGGCCACGTTGGCCTCATTGTTGCTGTCTTTCTGCAGCAGGCAAAGACTTTTCTCTTCGGGCAGGTTTCTCCTTAGTGATGGACTGTCTAGAAGAGGTTTTAAAACAAGATGGTTTGTATTTTGTTCCTTCTAAATCTGTTTTAGTAATCCCTTATTTAACATTGTTAATATAGTTACTAAATTGTTTAATATTTGTATAATTCACCGTTTTTAGCTTTAGTATTGTGTTTTAATGATGTAAGCCACCTTGGGTCTTTTCTTAGGAGAAAGACAGTGTCAAAATCTTTTCAATAAAATAATAAATAAATACTTTAAGGGAACAAAGACAGCTCAGTTTAATCTATCCCAGGCAATTTCCTTGTTTGCTCCATAAAAATTCAGATAGAAAAGCCATGGAACAGATACATATCCACACCTGATAGCAACATGAGAGTTTTGGAAAAAATACAGTATGCCATATATAGCTAACTTCCCCTTCAAATATGCAGAGAAGACATTGGGCCATGGCACATTATTTGCATGAAATTTGTCCATGGGAGAGATGCCTTGGTTGATCAATTTAGTGTGGTGTGTCACTGAATAAATGTTCTTTAGTGTAATTCTTTTACCATCTGTTTGTTGTTGCTATGTGCCGTCAAGTTGATTCTAACATGCAATGACCCTAAAGTTTCTTTCATTAACAGCCCCGCATGGGTCTTCCAAACTTAAGGCTGTGGCTTCCTTTGCTGAGTCATCTATCATTTATATCATGGCATTAGAAGAGCATTTTATTTTGATAAATCCACACAGAGCAAACAGAGTAGCTGTGCATACTCTTTTAAATTCAGTAGACCTAATCAACTAAAGTACAGTTTCAAATTAATTTGGCCTTCTAATAACTAGTGAGACTGAGATGGCTGGTTATACTACTACCACAGCTGCAGAAATGTCATCTCCCAGTATCAAATGTGGTAGCATGGACATGACAAGGAACAACTCCGCCTGCCGTTCCTCATATTTAAAGATAAGAGCTATATTGCATTTTACCTCCTGTCCCTTTTCTTCTCAGATAAGTATGAAAAGCAATTGAAGCCAACAATGAACAGTTTAAATAAATGTCACACTGATTTGAAATACTAAGTTATTGGCATTATTATCTTCTATATTACAGGTGTTGTGTGTTTTTTTAAAAAATAAAGCTGTTTATTATTTTATAGCTTAAATCACATTGGCTGCAGTGTCTTATTTTACAGGACTAACTTTATATTCCATATACTCATATTGAGGTAAAATGATTGGCCTTTTCATGACAGTGCATCTGGGCTAAAATCTACTATGTTTATGCCAAATAAAAGTTGTTAGTTTTTAAGATGTAGCAAGACTCTTTGGTGTGTTTTTACAGCAGCAAACTCTGGAAATCTACTCATGATTAAAGCTTTTGTTTTTAAAATGTTAAATTTCGCACTAGATGCTTTGCCAGTCCTTTATGGCTTTATGGACTGAGATTCTGTGTGTTGCAAATTTAAAATTGGTTGCAATCCAGGCTACCAAACTCAGGCTAAGTGGCTGATATCAGAGTAACTTATAATCATTTGGTAGAATATTGGTTATCATTTTATTCTTAATCAACAGTTCTCAAAATTATCACATGGAGCAATAACCTAAAAACGTCACAATGAAAACTGATTTAATATTTCCTAGATTATGAACATAGTCTAGGGGTTTGATGGGATATGTTTACAAAGAGGAAAGTCACAGTAGCATTTTTTCCCATTGGCCTTTCTTTGGTGTTATGCTCCAGGGAAATGCTGCTCACTAGCATTTACGTACATTTATTGAATAACAGCCCTGAGAATTGCTTTGTGTTTGGGTGAGAAGAGGCTAATGAAGAAAAGGGAAAAAAAAGGAGTCAGCTTCTGGAATTTTCCCTTGTGTGGTGTTAATTTATGAATGGTAGTGAGCAGAAAAGTGTTTCTCATGGACCATCTTGACTACAGCCATTAGTATTGTCAACATTCAGGCTACCCTTTGCTATGTAAAGTTTGGCATCCATTTTCCTGCTGGCAACATGGGCACAATATTGTGCAGCAATATTGGGCCATTTCCTGGTTTTTATGAATCATGGGTACAGAAGCACAATGTCCCACATTAATAAACCGGAGGGGTTTCCTTTGAAGAATTGAATCTTCTTCTTGTGAGTGACTGCAGGGATCTTAGAAGTATAAGTGCGTAGTTTCCACCTGCTGCAAATGAGCTATGTAATCATAAGGTGCAGATTTGAGGAGAGAACCAGTAGAAAAGCAAATTTCTAGAATATGTGAACACTAAATGTTGGTGAGAAACGAGTTTTAGTAGAACACCCTGAAGAGATTTCAAGTTTAAAATTGTCTATGGTGACATTTCATATTTGTCTTGAAATTGTTTTTCAAACTTTAAATTTTTCAGGCAGCATGGTGGTGCTCATGCTCTAAAAAGCCATTCTTGAATGTTTGCTTAATGATACAACTTTTCACAGTGCTTTATTAGGTCCTCATCTTTACTTGATTGTGTCCATGCACAGAAGTCCAAATGTATGTACCATGTTGCCCCAAAAATAAGACAGTGTCTTATATTAATTTTTGCTCCAAAAAACTCATTAGGGCTTATTTTCAGGTAATGTTTTATTTTACAGTTATGTCATCTTCTTCTGGTTGCTGCACAGTGGTGGAGGCCAGGGTTTCACTTAACTGGGGCTTATTTTGGGGGTAGGTCTTATATTAGGAGCATCCTAAAAAGTATACTCAGGGATGTGGTGGCGCTACAGGCTAAAGCACAGAAGCCTGTGCTGCAAGGTCAGAAGACCAGCAGTTGTAAGATCAAATCCACGTGCTGGAGTGAGCTCCCGTCGCTTTGTCCCAGCTCTTTGCCAACGTAGCAGTTCGAAAGCATGTAAATGTGAGTAGATAAATAGGGACCACCTCGATGGGAAGGTAAACAGCGTTCCGTGTCTAGCCATGCTGGCCACGTGACAAAGGAAACTGTCTTCGGACAAGCGCTGGCTCTGCGGCTTGAAAACAGGGATGAGCACCACCCCCTAGAGTAGAACACGACTGACTAAAATGTCAAGGGGAACCTTTACCTTTAAAAATTATACTAAGGCTTATTTTCAGGTTAAGTCTTATTTTTGGGGAAACAGGGTATTGAAATATGTATTGAAGTTCTAACATTCCTTCCTTTTAAAATTTTGCTCTAGTTCATAGTGGAATGTCATGGCAACACCCTACTTCCCCAGTTTTTGGGCATGTACCGGCTTACCGTTGATGGAGTTGAAGTATACATGATTGTTACAAGGAACGTATTCAGCCATCGTTTGTCTGTTTATAGAAAATACGATTTAAAGGTGAGCAATATCCCCACTTTATCAACTTTAAATTAGCTCTGCTAATACTTTTTAAATGGGAAGACATTTGTTAGATAGCTTATGCTCTAAAATTTAGCTGTTGCAGAGCTGGGGGGGGAACGGAACAATTTTTTTTTCAAGTTATAATTATTAAACCAGAATTTAGGGCTTATCTAATGCCAAAAACCTTTTATGGAAATAAGATAATTTGAGCAGTATTATGTGTTGAAAAGGAAGTGGCTTAATAGAAGCATGCTGACTAAAAGTAGATAAATGCTAATGGTTGCAGTCAGAGCCATTTGAAGGATAAAGTAGAGGTAGCTGAAGAGTTTCTCATGTCCTTAATGTATTTTGTAGACTGCTGCAACTTTTTCTGCATGCAGATACCTTAATGAACAGAATTATTGTAATGGTTTAAAGAAGAGTCTTATATCACTTTAAGATGTTAAAGCTGATTTAGCTAATGGTAGATTGAAAAGCCATGGTAAGCAACTTCTGTTCTTGCTACATCTACCAAATATAATTCAGGCTGCAATTCTAAACCTACTTATCTTGGAATAAATCCCATTAATGAGGCTTCTGAGTAGACATATATAGGATTGCATTGTTAGTGTTTTTATGGCTGATTTAGAAAGTGGTCCCAAATATTTCATCTAATTTTCTTAGCAGGAAGAATGGGAAAGCTGGGGGAAAGGACATCTGAGGGTCAATCTGTTTGATATGTCAAATATGTTTTGGGCAATTTAAGATCCTTTTATCTTATTCTCTTCTAAGTAGTAAAGGTGCATGGCTCTGATCCAACGTGCATGGATGCACCTAAATCTCCCCTGCTTGATTCTTGTTTCAAAATTCTCATGCAGAGGCTAAAAGCAGTTTGAAGCCTTTCCTCCCCTACATTTTTTAGCTCCGAGGTGGAAGTGGGTGATGTGTAAGACTCCTTCCTTGTTTGGTGATAGGGATCTGGATTGGGTCTGTGAACACTTCCTAAAGAATGAAAGGACTTTAAACTGCAAGATATGTACAGGTATTTTCATATAATGTGTAGTTTGACCCTCAGCAATTATGTAGTTTGACTGAAGGGCTATTTTGTTGGCCAGACTGACCTTTGGTGCAGGCTGTTTTATCCAGCTGATGCATGCTATGTTAGGAAAAGAAAACAATGGATACGTTTGTGTAATATCTGCACTTTTGAAGTGCACTGTTTCTTGAGGCAGACAGTTTTTAAAAACATGACTGTGTATTTATTGGTCTATCTCATTTTGAATGACATGTTGTCACAGTTTTGTTTCACTCCCTTTTGGCTGGGCTTTACCCTATGCCCTGTCTTTTATGTTAGTATAAATGGTTTTCTACAGTCAGAAATAATTATTACCTGTCAGTGTTCCATTTGGCAAGCGTGGCATACAGCTGGCAGTAATACTTCCAGCCATCATGGCTCCTTGGCTCCTAGCCCAACAATACACACAGCTTTGAAATGTAACCTGTCTTGCTAGCTGTATCCCACTATTGATAAATAATAGTTGTCATTTTGTAAGGCTGACGTGCCCATCAATGAACAGATCACATGTTGTATTTCGGCAACCTGTTACATGATCACAGTTCGATAATCTTTGGGTGTCACTTTGAACTGCCCTCAAGATGTCTGCTGTAAAACTGCATTTCCTAATGTGAACTCAAGCTGTCAGCACCGATGGGGGCTTCTGCCCCAGTGGGGCAAGTGGCAGATGAGGGCAAGGTTTCAAATGGTTTTTTTGGTCATGAAGCTCATGGGCCAGCCACATACACACTCAGCAACCTTTTGACCCTCTGTGTGGGGGGGTGGGGGTTGTGGAATTCACTTCATCCCAATTCATTGGTTGGAAATGAAGGAGCAAAATTGGGAGTCAGCAGTAGCCCAAAGGCTTTTCCAGGCCTGATTATTTCAGGGGCAATATATTGGAGAATATATGTACGCCTTGAGATTGCTGAGGGACGGACAGAATGAAAAGCTAAAACATGTTCACTACTATCTTTAAAGTTAGGGGGGGAAATCATAATAGCAACTGTCTATTGGTTTTGCTTACTTATTATGATCAGCGTAAATATCAAATCTGTTCGCCTTCCCTAAATCCTTTGAAATATTTGACCAAAATTTGACTGGCTTGTTGAGCAGCTATAATATTTGGACCCAATTTATAATAACAAAATGCATATGTCTAAAAATACAGATTTCATTAACACAGGCTTTTTATATTTCTCTTAACAAGCTGCTCATGCAACACATCACTGTAGTTATTCTCAGTGGCTATTTTTTGGAATGCACTTTTTGAATAGTTCTCATGCAAAAACAAACCACAACTATTCTATAAAGATGAGAAGAGGCATTAGAACTTGCCATTAATATAGCGAGGTCTGTTGTTGATGCTGCTGCTATTATGAAAAGTAGTTACCAGAGAACATTGTGGTCTGCATGCACTTGGTGATGGCTTGTGTGTGAGAGAGACAGAGACAGAGAATTAGTGTAAAGGAAATCTGGCATACAATATTTGTGTGTGTAGAGTTATGTATAAATAGGAGGCGTGGTGTTTCTGCCACTTCAACCTCTTTCTTCTTTTCCTGGTAATATTGACTATAAGGCATCATATTGTCATTTGCATTGCATTGCACGCACAGGTACATAATTGTGTGTTGCACACACAGGTATGCAGCTATGCTGATTGGGAAAAATCAGTGTTAGTGGAGAGTCATGTGTTACACTTTATTCAGTGTTGCCAAGAAAACATGAAAAAGACACTAAGCGGATTTGTCTCCCACCTTATCAACATAGACTTTTTAAGTTGGTTTATATACCATAAAAACAGTACCTATATTAAAACATCACAGCAAGGCCCTAAATCAAACAAACAAAATAAAATAACCAACCAGTGGAACTAATATTAAGCTAGCTGAAGCTCTGAAGAATCCAAACTTTTCCTTGGCTAAGAGGTTATTTAGGATGACCCTTACCTTGGTTTAATTTTGTGCTGGCATAGTAGTTGTGCCCCTGGGCTGAAGGAGGTTTCAGTCTGAAATAATTCCTCGCTGACCCTGAATCTTCTCTATTCTTTTTCTGGCTCAGCTCATTTTAGGGAGTACATCAGTTATGCTGGTGAGTGTTTCTGCGAAGCACATCTCCGAGATCAGCCAGCAGGAGGGGGTTCTGCCAGGCCAGGAGCAGTTGTGATGGCATGAGAGACTTCTGCTCATTCCACCCCTCCCTACAGCCAGTGCATTGTTTTGAGTTAGGATTGCAATCTAACTGGGTACAGTTGCCTGGAGAAGCCTTTGGGCTACTGCTGAATGAAAATGGACTCCCAATTTTGCTCCTTCATTTCCAACCAATGAGTTGAGGTGGAGTGGATTTATTATTTGGAAAGTTGCAGGGTGGGTTGCAGTGGTGGCAAATGATTTTATAGGGTCTTTTGGCCTCTTTTTTTCTATAAACAGCCACCTTTCCTCCCATTACCAACAATTTCCCCCACACATACCCCTGAAGAAAGCAATGCCAGGACATGATGTTTCTTGGTGGGGGCACAATAGGGAAAAACTTCAATAGCTGCTATGTGGCCGTGGAGAGGATGAAAATGAGGAGGACCTGTATATAATTTTGCCCCTTCCAATTTGTGGCACGTGTGGCTTTTTTTTGTGGAGGAGTGCATCTTGTCCTGTAGCTCAGAATTCCTCTTTCTGATATGATGAGAACTTTGAGCTTAGTATTACATTAGGCTTGCTTTATTTGATGGGGAACCCTCTGTGCCACATGTCAAATTGTTTGAAAAGCTTTGTGATATGTCATGGAAAGGAGACAATCAATTCAAGGGTGGGAGGAAAGAAAAGTCCATTGAAATCATACAAGTCACTCCTCCCTCGTAAGCATCAATATCCTTTGGATTCTAGCTAATGTACATAACTAACAGATATCTCTTGCTCAGCACTTCTGTTTAATTTTGCTAATTATCCTTAGATTGATTACTGTTGTCTAATTAGAATACATTTGGACAGTAAAGGTTTTGGTGGCAGTTTCCTGTACAGCTTAAGTACTGTATTATTACTGAAGATTTCTCCAGAGGCTAGTAGTAAAATTAAAAATGATAGCTATATGACAATGAGAATCCAGACATCTGCAGAGAGGATCTTCCTTTTTATAGACTTTCTTTAGCTGCTGCTGAAATGTTTCAATTTTTACATAAAATGATTAGTATTCTTCTATTTCCATTGATTAGCTGTTACAGCAAAATATTTGATCTGTACTTTGGAATTATTTGTATATTATAATATAGCATTTGGATGTGTTTGTATGATTTTATGTTAGATGACAGAGGAAAAGTCTTAGTGTACATTGAATGAAGTGGTTCTGTATTAAATAGCACCTGATATGATGGTGCATATTATTTTTCCTGAATCATTTCCAATATTGTTCTTCTGTTTCAGGGCTCTACGGTAGCAAGGGAAGCCAGCGACAAGGAAAAGGTGTGGCAATGTTATATGTATGCAGTTACCTAGTCACTGAAGTTCAGTTTTTGATGGGGTAAAAGCTAAATATGGACTATGATAAAGCATTGTTCTAAAACTGTTGCCTCAAAATATCAGAGAAACATAGGCTGCAATATACCACTTCATGGGAGTAGGGCCTGTTGAATGCAAACCAAAATCTGAATATTTGGTGGCAGATCTCATCTGCTGTGATTTTACTCTAATCATACCCTACTCATTTTGTTTTGCTGTAATTTATTTTCTTTCTTTTATCAGAAAAAAACACCTCAGTAAAATTGGGAATCCAGTTTTCAGTCGTGAGTTATTAAAAATTGAGAAATCATCTTAAAATATTTTCCATTCCTGTCAATACAGGTGTGTAAAGTTGAATTCAGGGGTACAGTCCAGAGGTGCATATGGAAAGTATCTCCTTCTTGTGCAGCACCTAACAGTCTTCTACAACATAGTACTTTCCAGAAATGCTGGACTACAACTTCCATTATCCCCAAAAGCATAGGCAGTTTACCATGCTACTTGGGAGAAGAGGAGGATGATTTATTATTTTTATAAGTAATAAATATTTCTGCTAAAAATGACACTCAAGGTGATTTTTTTGACAATGGACGTTGTAGCCCAACATACCTGGAAGGTCCCCGGTTGTGGAATAGTTAGGGCATTTTTCCATGAGCAGGAAGAGCTCTGTTGAAGTAATGTGGAAGAAAAGTGAAACTAAATTTTCAAATGCTTAACTGCTCGTATGAACATAAAGCTTAAAAAGACAAGGCAAAATCTTGTCTAAACATATGTAGGAAAACAATAGCAGCCGTTTTTCTTTATGTCCATGGTTCTTGGGTGATGTCACTCTCTTACTGTTTTTGAATTGTGCCTTTTCGACAACCATCGAATTGATTTTTTTTTGAGTTTTAGAAAAAGAATGTCTTCAATCGTTGTCAGATTTTTGACAACTACCACTTTGCCTTCTCTACGCTCAAAGTCTTCATAGAATACAAGTTCTTCCCACCAGGTCTCTAACACTTCATTCCATATCTAGATATGTCAACCTTTTCTTCTGCTTCCCTGCAAATATTTTGACTCTTGATTTTATCTCCCCCTTTTCTTTATCATCCTTTGTTTTAAAGGCCAATTTTAGAGAACTCCCTGTAAAATCATCATCATGTGCTGTCAAGTGAATTCTGACTTATGGCGATCCTTTCCAGGGTCTTCCAAGTAGAGGATATATGGAAGTCGCTTACCATTCCCTTCTTCTGGGGGTACCCTGGGACTGTACAGCTTGCCCAAGGCCACAGAAGACTTCTTGCAAGCCCCTGTAAAATAGAAGAGAGAAATATTTTCTGTTCTGTACTTTAAATACCAGTCACTTCAGAAAACGTTAGCAAAAGCATCTGGAATGAAATAGTGTATCTTAGTTTCATTATATGTTACATCTCAATCAGTTTGTTTTTTGTTCCCATGATCAATTGGCTGTTAACGACATTACAAGAGGGCCTAACCTGCACCTAATTTTATGAATAGATGTATGCTTGGGCATAGTAGAAAAGCTTTGCAAAGCTGGGCCTTTGCAGTGTATTATTTTGGGCCTCAGAGCAGTGAGATCCAGCGTAGGGGTGCCTTGACTGCCAGTGCTGTGTTTACCATCTGCACTATTCCCAGGCCTGTGACCTGCTTCTTATCCTGATGTATCACAGAAGTTGGAAAGAGCCAAAACACTGGATAGGAGCTCCTTGAAGTGTGTTGCTTACAGGATGCTTTGGTGGGAATGCACGTGCAGGAAAACAGCTGTTAAGCTTCTTCTTGTTATGAGTAGTTCTTGTCATGCACCACAAGATTTGTTGTTAGAACTCTTTATTTCTTGCTAGACCTCTGACAAATAGGAGGTTGTCTCTCAATGAATTTTAACATTGAGATAAAATGTTGGTCTTACTGATTGGCAACTAATTTCCTTTTTTAAAAGAACAATGAATGCTCTGATGGGTTAAGATAAGCCTATCAGTTATAAAAGTAAATTGGGGTAGTTCAAAGAAAGAGGAAAATGGGATGCATTTTCCCATGTGAAGGTTGAGTTGAAAGCCCCATTTCTTGCTTTAGAAGTGTTACAATTGTGATACAGTGCTGTAGCTCATTAGTACCCCCTTGTGGCTGTTGGTTTGCATTTTTGTGTGTCTTTGAACGTTGTTATGCTGTGCTTGCACAATCTGAGTTTCCCAGAGCATTCACAGAGCATATTTGTTTCATTGCATTCACTGTTTTAAATTAGTTTTTTTATGTGCTAACTTTTTCTGTTTCCCTTAGGCTAAAGAGCTGCCAACATACAAAGACAATGACTTCATCAACAATGGTCAGAAAATTTACATTGATGAAGCTAACAAAAAAATGTTCCTGGAAAAACTTAAAAAGGACGTTGAGGTAAGGACCCTGGTGGGGGGGGAATCCAAACAGCTTTCCTTATCCTGTGCTCTTTTCTTCTAAATCGTTATGCCACTCTGCAACACATTTGCTGTTAGTTCTAGTGTTGCAGAAGCTGCATGCAAGGCAAATAGAAGAAATGCAAGAACTGTGCCCTAAAGCAGTGGTCCCCAACCTAGGATTTCTGCGAGTTGAAGTCCAAGAACATCTGGAGGCCCAAGGTTGGGGACCACTGCCCTAAAGGACTTGCGATGGCCAGGGCAGGGGGAAGTGGGGTGCTTTGCCTAGCACACCAGATTTGTAAGCTAGCGCTGTTGTCACACAGACGACAGTCCGAACTTTGCCGGTAGTCAAGAACAAGGTTGCCTTTAATACCACAAGCATTTACGTAGAGGAGATTTTATGTTTATAAAAGAAAAGCGAAAAGACAAAAAGCAGAATAGTTTTTTAAAAAGTATTAAAAGACAAAAAGCAGTTTGAGATAAGATTGAGGAAAACAGAACATCACACTAGAAAATAATAAAGCTAACTTCTCTACTTAATACTTACGATCAGGAGAAATGAGGCCGGTGTGGTTGTAAGTAGAACCACAACAAACTGTGAACATCCTCTCGCTTCCTCCCCAAATTCCAAACTATTCCTTGTTTCTTGTTTGGTCCATTGGTGAGATCATGTTTGGCAGGGCACCCGGCATTTAGAGAGGGTGGAAGAAAAGACTACAACAGGATCTGGAAGTATGAATGTGAGCACTGGAAACAGAAGACGACTCTGCAATGGTGTGAGACAACCACAGTGGCTGTTGCCATTAATGGCAAAAAAAAGAGCACACACATACAACCTTGCAATAGCACATGTCCATAAATCCGAATGTGGAAGGATACACTAGGACAGCCCACAGTCATTTTTCTTGTAGGAAGGCAAACTTTACTTGTTCATGGATAGATACAAGTACAGTGGTGCCTTGCTTGACAATGTTAATTTGTTCCAGCGAAATCGCTGTAGAACAAAATCGTCGTCAAGCAAAAGTAAAAAGCCCATTGAAAACCGCTCAATGCATTCCAATGGGCGAAATACCTCAGTGTCCAGCGAAGATCCTCCATAGTGCGGCCATTTTCTGGTGCCTGTAATGTGAGGAATCCGTCCTAAGCACAGCGGGGAGCCAATTTGAACAGCGGGGTGGCCATTTTGAAACCCAACCATCAGCTGTTTTCTGATCGTCATAAAGCGAAAAATTGGTTCCCAAAGCAGGGAACCGATCATCTTGAAATGAAAAAAAACCCATTCAATCAATGTTTTGTGATCGCAATGGCGATCGCAAAAAACACATTGTGAAGCGATTTCATCGTTAAGCAGGGCACCACTGTATTACATCAGGATAAGCAGGGCATCATTTGGACTGATCAACCACAAACAAATCAGAATGACAACCAGAAGAGTCATAGAAACCCTCTTTGGTTTCCTCACAGTTTCGCCAATCTACATATGCCAAGCTTAGTAACCCCATAGTACCTATCATAGTAACATCTGATAGAGAGCTTTAAATCACAAATACTTCAGTATCTGAATTATTTAGACACAAATATATTTAAACCAAAGTGCACTGCTTATGTACTGCCCCATAGTGCTTAGAGCACTCTCTGGGTGGTTAAAAATTTAATTATTCAGGTTACACATGCCCTCCCCCCCAGTGAGCTGGGTATCATTTTACCAACCTCAGAAGGATGGAAGGCTGAGTCAATCTTGAGCCGGCTATTGGGATCGAACTCAGGTGATGAGTGAGTCTTGACTGCAGTACTATTAAAACCTTTAAATATATTTAAATGTTTTAATAGAAAAAACCTGTATATTGCTTGCATCTGAACATCTGGAACTTTATTCTGATTTCAAATCAAGGCTGATCAATTTTGTTTTAATGCCATTTTGGTACCTGTATTGTGCAAAAATTTATAATCTTATAGAACAGAGAAAAAAAATCTCAGTATTCTTCTGTTCATAGCATTGAGAGAAAGGCTTGAATATTCATGTTGTGTCTTGAAATGTTAAATGCACAATAAACACGTAGCGATTTGTCTCTGAAATGTGGGTCAAACTGAATTTTTGCGGTTTAAGAAGGTCAGTATTGTAATTGTATTTGAAGAGCCTTGTAAGATGTTACTTAAAATTCATATAGAAGTGCCATTAAATTTGTATGTAGGCAATTATTATGAAGTGGTTTGGCATTTTAGGCTGATAATAGAAGGCTAGAGCTGCATCTTGGCTTTATCTTTGTATTCTTTATTATTTTCTTTTGAGAGTTGTGTTAGTGCAGTTCTTATGTTCTGTTAGTGCATATTATTTAAATCTTACGCCACTTAAAAACATATATTGACTACATTCTTTGATTATTATTTACAGCAAGAAGCAATAGGGTCCTAGCCTTGCTTCTAATAAGGCGTTTTCTTCCTCTAGGGTGGATTTTATCACACAGTGTGGACACATTTTCCAGGGCTGTTTGATTATTCAGTTTGACTTCCAGTTGCACACATCTAGAACATATCTATTCAACTCACTGTGGTTTCATATCAGTCCTGAAGCACTTCTGTAATGTACAGATAGCTTGTATGCCAACATCAATCCTATAAAGAAGTGGATTCCACCCTTAGGTAGCCCAGGTGTTCTTGGACTGCAGTTTCCAGAAGCCTTCATTACCAGCTGTGCTGGCAAGGGTTTCTGGGAGTTGCAGTCAAAGAACATCTGGATTACCCAAGGTTGGGAATCACTGCTATAAAGGGATCCTGTTGCACTGCTGCAATCATATCATTAAGACAGATCTTGTCTGATATGACTGTGTGTGGCTGATATAAAACAACAAGCTGATGATCAAAGTTGGTATAAAAGTTTTCATGGCGCATGAATATACACAGTCCAATGTGCTCTGAATGCCTGATCTATCCAGATTTACTTCTTTGTAAAATCAATTGTCATTTCCCTTTTAAGGCCAGTTAAGCTAGTGGCTATCTCTGTGCATCCATTAAAATCCAGTTAACTGGTTTTCCCCTGAGCAAGCCTATTTAGTAGAAAGTGTCATTTGAAACAAAAGTTATCTTTCCAAATTTTGTCTTGGATTCTCTTTACCCTTTCCATGGTAACCGGGTCTCTTCATTATTGCTGTCTAGTTCCTCGCTCAGTTAAAACTCATGGATTACAGCTTACTGGTTGGGATTCATGACGTTGAGAGAGCAGAACAGGAGGAGGTAGAATGTGAAGAGAATGAGGAAGATGAAGGAGAAAGTGATGGGACTCACCCAGTAGGAACACCGCCAGACAGTCCAGGAAATACTTTGAACAGTTTGCAGCCTTTAGCTCCAGGAGAATTTGATCCAACCATTGATGTTTATGGAATAAAATGTCATGAAAGTAAGTGGTTTTGTTATAAATATTTAAATATGGGGGACATGTTGAATCTTGCATCCATCTCTGAGCTTTGAAAGGAAAATCATTACTGTTTGTACTATTTATTGAAACATTATTACAACAAGTTAGACTGAACACAGATATAAAAGGATTAAGAATAAGAGGGGAAGAATATAAAGTACATGC